GAGAGAGAGAGAGAGAGAGAGAGAGAGATAGATAGATAAAATATATATTTATTTTTGTCATAGATAAAGTGTCCTTGCTAAGATGAATGGAATTTTTATGTCTGGGAACCTGCTGTTGTGCTCTCTGCTCAATAGCTGAGAAAAAATAAATCTATATATTTTTATCAAGTATTACAGTATTTTACCACACACAACTGTATTGATATTCTTAAGTGATGAATGTAAGAGAAAATCAGTAAAAGACTGCAATCACATTATTATTGTACTGGGACCCAGATATTGATATAATAATAATAATAATAATAATAATAATAATGTACACAGAATGAAAACATGTATTCCTGGGTGTAGCGACTATTAAAACTAATTACATATTATACCTGACTAGAATATAGTTTTCAGATTGTTCTTAAAACCCTGCATGTGTTCACTATCACCTACCAGAGGCGCTCATTGTGCTCTTTGCTTCTGAACTGTATTCTGCAGTTATAGCATCATCTGCACCCATGGAAATAACCCTCTACAGTTCTTATTGTACGCTTCATCTTTTCAGCATACATCCTTAATGACCTGAGCTCAGGTTTAATAATAATCTGCCGGAGAGGGGTTGATTGAAAAAGACTGGATTTCCTACAGCTTAGCTTTCATATACTCAGGAGAGCAAAGAGGTCTCTATGCACAGCGGAGACACAGAATGTAAAATCCGCGTGATTAGAGACGGCTCCGAGCCAAACAGCTGACAATCAGAGGTGAATGCAGTGCGGGAAGGGGACGGGAGCACAAAACGGGACAAGAACGAATGTATTTGTGTTATTGTGCATGTGAGAGCGTGCATGCATTCATGTGAGTGTCCTTGAGTGTGCAGTGTAATGTAAACTAGAATGCGCTCTCCTAGAAAATGTGTGCATGTGTGTGTGTAGAGGAGGAGGCATGCTCTTTGATTGTCACTTCGCTCTTTCAGCGTACCATGCACTGCATAAAAAAATTTCACAACACAGTGAATAATTCAGCGCCACATCAAAGGCTGCTCTCACATGCCAAGTTGTAAAAAAAGAGGCGCACTGTCACTTTAAATATATGAACAGAAATGAATAATTCTGTGTTTTCTCTCTCCCACTGGAGCGTGAAAGAGTTTTCCAAGAGCGAAAGCTCTTGAGATCACTGGAGTGTAAACAACCTCAATGTTTCCACTATTACAGACAAGCCATACTGTCCCAAGGGGACCTTTGCCCCCTCATTACAATCCATAAGCGCGTGTGACACGTCTTTCATTCCAGTTGTTTGTGCCTGAAAGAGCTCAGAGAGGATTGTGATCGGCATCATTCTTCAGACTTGTCATTGTCACCTGCATCGTTTCAAAGCTATCGCTGCTTATGACCTCCCATTAAACCTCTATTATGGTGCTCTGTGACATGGTCATTATCTCTGGGTCAAAGGGCAATTTTGGAGTCATGGGAGCATGATGAGGCAAGTGCTTACTTTGAGTTCATCAGCGTCATAGAAGCTGACTTGCACGGACGGTACCATCCACGACTGGAACAGAGTGCTGAGGATCTGATTGGCCACTGTATCTGTGATGAAATGAAAGTGAAGTGGGTTTCTCCTGAAAAGAGAGATGTGGACATGTTGACATGTTAGGTTTTATATGAATGCATCAAGCAAAGATGCTAAGGTGGAAATATGCTGCTTTGAAATTTTTCATTTTTAAAATTAAAAATTTAGATTTTTTTTTTTTAATGTAAAATGTTGAATTTGAACATTTGAATTTTGGAATATGAAATCTTCAAATTTCAAATTCCAGAATTCTAATGTTCAAAATCCCAAAATTAAATGTCAAATTTAAAATTATTTAAAATGTTGAATTTGAAAATTGACATTAAATTTTTGGAATTTGAAAACTGAATTTTGGAATTTGAAGTCACAATTCAAAAAAATAAATGTAAAATTCAAATTCCAAAAAAATTTAATGTCAATTTTCAAATTCAACATTTAAATTTTTAATTGTGGAATTTAATTTCAGGTCAAATGCAATACATATTTAAAAAATATAAAATCTACTAGAGAATAGCTAAATCCCAATATTTTTTTCTTATACACTTTGCATACATAAGATTCCATACACAATGCAGCTCTATATATTGGTGTCACTATACTATTATATTGCTATCTATTACTGTTCATTTTCCTGTGCTTGGGTCTTACCTGTGGAACAGGATGGATTTGACCAGAGTGACCACGTCCCGACTGGCGTTGTGACCCGCACACACACATGCCACGTGAATCAACTGTGTGTGGAGAGAAATGCCAACGTTTCAGATTGGGCTGAAGAACTTTAGCTTTGTTAAAGTATTCCTAACATTTACTGTGTAGGCTTTAAACATAATCTAACATACAGCGTCCATCCAGAAAAAAAATTGTACACATATGCCACATTACAACTGATGTGAATATTGATTCAATAAATATAAAATATCAAACTACACAGAACTAAGTTTACTTTTTAGAGCCATTATTTAGTATTAACCAACTGGTGTTGAGGTGATATCTTTTGTTTTCATTTCGGACTGTATATCGCTTTATCATTTCAACCTATCGAACTTGTCTTTGTGAAATGGTATGCTTAAAAAGTGTTTGTAAAACCTTTCACTTTTCCAGAAGTGTGATTTAAATGCTTTTTGGGGCCGCTGTATGTTCTAAAGATTTGTTCTCACATCTGACAGGACCTAATATGTCATCTAACCTCACACTTCTCGGCGGTGGGCGAGCGAGAACACTCGCTGTGATTGGCCCGTTCCTCGGCTGTGTTCTCCACGTCTTCTGGACCGGTGTCTGCCGATGCCACCCACTGCTGGTTGCCATAGTTACCCTCGGCAGGCTGGGCAGCCAGGCCCTGCGATTGGCTCAGCTGGAGTCGGATCTGCCGGTTCTCTTCCTCCACCTCTCGAACCCGCGATGCCAGGACGTCCCGTTCCAGCAGCCGTGCTTCTGTGGATTCCACCAAGCATGCGGAGAGGAGCAGGGAACGCCCGTCTGATACGGCACAACAGATTTAATTTAATTCGAGTGATCTTGACAGATTGCACCCCAGAGATGGATGGCTGAGAGGTAAGGAAATAGGAAGCTTGAGGTGAATTTGCACAGAGACAATATACGTGAATGTCATTCAGATTTAAGACAGATTCCAAGAGTATCTCAATCTACACGCTGCTCTCTGCTGGAATGATTAAAGTAGCAGAAAATTGGGTGTGATCAGGGAGAACAAAGTAACAGGCATTGAATTTATCGGAATGATTTGATGGATTTTCTTGCATTGCGCTCATGTATAAGTGAGTGCAGATCACTCATCCCTGTTAACCAGAGTTGGGAACCATCTTACTGAGCGTAACCATGTCGTTTCTCATCCAGTGGCCATTGGCATTCACATTCATCTCAGGCAGTTGGGCACAGAGCCCCTGGAAGTATGTGATGTGTAATCTACATCTTTGCTTATGGGCCCTCAGTTCAGAGTTTCGAGCCACTCACCTGAGCCGTAAATGCCATGTGATTCATGACTCTAGAGCCATAGGAAATTGACGTGCCCTGATTGGCTGATGAAACCGCAAGAACACTCACAGTTGCTTTACTAGGGTCTTTCCTGAGTTATGAAGGCAGCAGATGGAGAAAAGTTCATTTCATGCTTTTATGAGCCCTCCAGAAACGATATAATATATAATTACGAGGTTATTCTACAAAACCACTTATTAAAATAATGTACTATTTAAAACAAAACAAACAACAACAAAAAAAACAGGAAAGGGCAGGACGTGAACTGTGCAAAGAGAAATAAATACCTCCTTTTTTAAAATGCCAACCCTGTTACTAGGATGTTTTTAGTAGACATTTAACAGAAAACTATTCTTTTTTTTTATCAGTAGAAATTTAAGTTTCCCAAAAGCAGCATGTAGTGCAGCCATTCTAGTTGAATAATAGTTGAATTTATAAAAATGACTCCTGATGATCCACAGCTGTTTTGTTTTGTTTTGTGATAATTGTTCACGAGTCCCTTGTTTGTCCTGAACAGTTAAACTGCCTGCTGTTCTTCAGAAAAAAATCCTTCAGGTTCCACAAATTATTTGGTTTTCCAGCATCTTTTGCGTATTTGAACCCTTTTCAACAATTACTGTATTTTGAGATTCATATTTTCACACTGAGGACAGCTGAGGGACTCATACGCAACTATTACAAAAGGTTCAAACGCTCACTGATGCTCCAGAAGGAAAAATGATGCATTAAGAGCCAGGGGTGTAAACTTTTGAACAGAATGAAGTGTGTACATTTTTCTTATTTGGTCTAAATAATTAACTTTTCACTGATACTGCAAAGTGTGTGTAATATATATATATATATATATCATGAACTGTACGTTCTTCAACAAAACAGTTATTAATTTTTTGTTTGTTATTGATTTAATAGTTAATGATTTTAATTCAGATTATTTTACTCCATAAATTTGTTTATTAAATTACTTTTTAGTCATCCTGTGGCCCTATTGGGAATTTGCTGAGGCCCCCTAGTGGGCTCCGGACCTCTGATTAAGAACGTCTGATGTAGTATCAAGATTTGGGGAAGACTAGCAATATCCAACTAAACTGTAAAAGGGCCAATGCTTTTACCTTACTATTACCCAAGTATGCATTACTATTTATAAAATGGATAGTTAATTCCTGAATTCTTATTGGTCAATTTTACATTCATTCTAGAATTTACAATATAGGTAAATCTCTGATGTAAACAACTGGTTCAGTATATCACTTTTCAATGATCATATCTTATACCACACGTTTTTCAAAACTGGGATCATTATTAATTAAAAAAATAATTACATGAATAATTTATTAATAACTAATAAATCATAAAAATATAAATTTTTAATAAATATTTGAAATATTTGATTAGTCTGCATGTCATGTGACCATTAAACAACATCCGAGAATGTGTGAGTGAATGTGTTGTTAAATTACTGAAATACTAATCGCAGGGAAACTTCAAGGAAATATTTTAGGTCAAAGATCTTGGTTCTAGCAGAAGGACGCCACTTTTAAATGAATTGGCTTTAAAAAAATAAACCATGAGAATTTGTGTCCTTAGTAAATTTGATTAGTAACGCTTAAGCAACCACTTTTATACAGGCCATGCTGCATTGTGAAGTCACAGCTGAAGGGGTTGCAAGCTCTCATACCTTACTGCTTAAATATTAATTTAACTTAATATGGCACAATTCAGCACAATGTATTAACACTTCAAGGCATTCTTTGAAAGAACCTTGCTTTAAAAACCACCTCTCCAACGCACCCGTTTCAAACAATGGCCCACAAAATGCTTTTGAAGTTCAGAAATATATCTCCAATATTTTTTTCTAAAGGGAACAACGGGTCTTCTCTTAAACTCTTTCAGTCTTACGAATACCGATGACCATGCTCTGATAATCTTCCTTTCTGTGTGCTGCACAGGCCTGTGTGTGCATTTCTCATGATAGGGATGGATATGTTCACATGCCAGAAAATAATTGTTTTCTACTTTAATATATTTTAACATAATTTATTTCTAGTGATAACAAAGCTAAATTTTTCATCATCATTACTCTAGTCTTCAGTGTCAAATGATCCTTCAAAAATCATTATATTATGCTGATTTGCTGCTTGATTATTAATAATAGTTTTTTTTAATTATTATCAGTGTTGAAAACTATTTTTGTTGCTTAGTATATTTTTTGAAACCGTGATCATTTTTTTTTCAGGATTCTTTGGTGAATAGAAAGCTCAATGAACAGCAATCATGGATTCCACAAAAATATTAAGCAGCAAAAATCATTGTTAATAATAAGAAATGTTTCTTGAGCAACTAATCATCATATTAGAATGAATAAATATTTACAAAAAAAACATAAAAAAATACTAAATTAGATTTTTTTCAGGTAACGCTAGCATTCACTTGAGATTCCTGCAGCACGCTTTCAGAGTTCTCTGAAACCCTCCACCTTCCCCAGCTCCACCTGTATAGATCTGCTATGGGTTATTTTATATGCTATTTGTGCAGCAATATATATATATATATATTCATTTCACCATTTATTTGTTTAAAAATACAATAATATAGTAAGATATTACCATTTTAAATAATTGTTTTCTACTTTAATATATTTTAACATAATTTATTTCTAGTGATAACAAAGCTGCATTTTTCATCATCATTACTCTAGTCTTCAGTGTCAAATGATCCTTCAAAAATCATTATATTATGCTGCTTTGCTGCTTGATTATTAATAATAGTTTTTTAAATTATTATCAGTGTTGAAAACTATTTTTGTTGCTTAGTATATTTTTTGAAACCGTGATCATTTTTTTTTTCAGGATTCTTTGGTGAATAGAAAGCTCAATGAACAGCAATCATGGATTCCACAAAAATATTAAGCAGCAAAAATCATTGTTAATAATAAGAAATGTTTCTTGAGCAACTAATCATCATATTAGAATGAATAAATATTTACAAAAAAAACATAAAAAAATACTAAATTAGATTTTTTTCAGGTAACTTAAATTATGTGTAACAACAATAACTTATTTAAAAATATAATTAAATGTGACTACTCTATATCCATCTTAACAAATTAGACTACATCAAAGGAAGTATTTTTTTATGGGTTAGATAAAGTAGAAACAGATTTTTGAAACCACCAAGCTGCAGTGTGTAATTTCTTCACAATTGTTACTAAACTAACTTAAACAATAAAGACACTCCCTATCTGCCATTGGTCAAAAAAAAAAAAAAAACGGATAGCCCTGCCCTGAACCCATGCCATTGGTTGAGTCTGTGTTGCCATGTTGGGCTGGTCAGTGTTTTTAAATATATACTTAAATATCAAATATTTGGGTTAATTTTATTATGAGCTGCCAATAAAACAACTACAAAAAACAAATCAAGTATTCTCAAAAGCAGTACAGAAAATTTGATAATACATCACTGAAAATTCACAGGTACGGCTTTCATCAAAGCTTCTAAACAAATGCATTTCAGCCGGCTTATAAAAGCTTCAGTACAGCATGACAGATATTACAGATATTGGTATAATAATAAATATTGATTCGGTGTTGTTTTTCCATCTTCGTGCAGAATTGTGTCTGCATTAAAAGCATTACAGGGCTCTGGACTCACTAAACTCCTGGCTTGCGGCTGTCCAGAGTAACTCTCTAAGCCTCTCTGCACCCCACTTTACGGCACGCATTCATGTCTGTGTTCACGCCACGTGGGCTACACGACAGCCATTGTTGTTTACACCACTCTTAATTAAAGCGCGAGCAGTGGGAGGCTCTCCATCACCCCAGCAGACGCAGATTAACAACAGAAAGAAAAAAAAAAGAGGGAGAGGGAGTGGGAGAAAGGAGACAGTAGAGAGACAAAATCGTCTTTGTTTTATTATGAGCTTAATTAATCATGCTTCAGTATAATTAGACATATGCCTGCAGGAAGCAAGATTAGATGCTGACAATAATAAAAAAAAATTATAAACTATATATATATATATATATATATATATATAGGGCTCTGGACTCACTAAACTCCTGGCTTGCGGCTGTCCAGAGTAACTCTCTAAGCCTCTCTGCACCCCACTTTACGGCACGCATTCATGTCTGTGTTCACGCCACGTGGGCTACACGACAGCCATTGTTGTTTACACCACTCTTAATTAAAGCGCGAGCGAGCCGTGGGTCTCCATCACCCCAGCAGACGCAGATTAACCACAGAAAAAAAGAGAAAGAGGGAGTGGGAGAATGGAAACAGTAGAGAGACAAAATTGTCTTTGTTTTATTATGAGCTTAATTAATCATGCTTCAGTATAATTAGACATATGCCTGCAGGAAGCAAGATTAGATGCTGACAATAATAAAAAAAAATTATAAACTATATATATATATATATATATATATATATATACACACCT